CATAAGTACTCTTGGGTAAACCTATGACAAGAAACCCAACCAAGTGGATAAAGGAGAAGCCAAGACAATTCAGTGTCCTTTATACCCACTACTGAACTTCTAGAGGACCACCATCCACTGCTAATTTCCCTCTACTCTTGTTCATTCTGTGACTCCTCGAATGAAAGTCAAACACCAAAATGTGAAATACACTGCAATTTATTGAGAAAAGAAAATGCGACATAATCATCACCAGAGGATCCACAGCCAGGGGAATTAAGGAGATAGAAGTAAGTCAAGATATGATGCCCAGATGTGGGGAAGGAACCCTGGGGACCAACAGTCCAGAGATCTTGACCATCCACCCTCTAACACTGGCCCCACTGCACGGCCCTCCTCAGGTGGGGCTGAAACATGCCAGGTTCATCCATCAACCCCCAGGGAAAGAGGGAGATAGGCCAGAGTAGGAATCGGCCAGGCTGGGAAGGTCCACACTAGTTTTGGCTCAAGTGTTGCTGTCCAAAGTCAGGGGCCATCACAAGGTCACATCTAGAGACATCATCATCCCAGACTAGCAGCTGGCCCTCCCTGGCCAAGGAGACGTCTTAGGGATGGAGGAGCCAGGAAGAAGTTCAGGACCTGTGGATGCTAAGCAGAGAGTGGGCAGTGCTGCTGCAGGCTGAGAGGGAAGCAGGTGGGCATGGAAATTTGGCCCTGGAGGATCACTTGGAGCTGTGCTGGCTGGAGCTGGGGGTCTGAGAGAAGCGGATACCGGTGCTGCCTCCACTGCCAGACTTGTAGCCACTGCCTCCAGAGGACTGGATGCCGCCAGGACTGGAGCCCATTCCACTCTGGCTCACAGAGCTGCTGCCTCCACTGCTCAGCCTGCTGCCGGTGCCACCACTCTGGTAGCCTCCACTGCTACTGCCACTCTGGTAGCCTCCAGTGCCGCTGCCACTCTGGTAGCCCCCAGTGCCGCTGCCACTCTGGTAGCCCCCAGTGCCGCTGCCACTCTGGTAGCCTCCAGTGCCGCCGCCGCTAACGCCACCATAACCACTGCCGTTGCCACCGCTTACTCCTCTGTGGCCACCACTGCTGCCTCTGTAGCCACTGCTGCTGCTGCCGCCTCTGTAGCCACCGCTGCTGCTGCCACTGACCCCTCCAAAGCCCCCACGGCTCCCACCAGAGCTGCTGCTTGTGCTGGTGACGTTGCTGACCACAGCTGCAGGAGAATAGCCACTCGATTCAGGCTAAAGGCCCAGGTCTGTATCCCAGCTCCACCCTACTTGGCTGTGTGACTTAGAGAAAGATACTCAACTTCTCTGAAGCCTCAGTTGGTAAAAAAAAAAAAAAAAAAAAAAAACCTGACCCTCTGGTGCCCTTTTCCAAAAGCAAGAGCCAGCAGTATACACAGGAATATCTGGTTCTCCAACCTAGGGAACTCCCCAAGACCACAGGGTGTGCCAGTTTACACTAGGGACAGAGTGTGTGGCCTTGGCCTGAGACCCTAGGTACCATTTGGAGGCCTGTTCTCCTTGCACTGGTCAGGTTTTCCTGCCTGAAGGTCAGGGAGGATGTTTCTAATTCCTCTTTTTTATAACCCAGGAGAAGGTTTTTGAAGGGCTACTTACAAATGCTCACAGCACTCTGACACTCTCCAGACATCCTAAAAAAAGAAGAGGGGAGGTGAATTATTTCTACAATGAGTCATTAGCCAAACTGCTGAGGGTTCATAACTTTGGGAGTCACATTCTCCCATTTGCCCAACTAGAGGTCAAGTTCCCAGGGGAATGAAAGTTATCCCAAGCCTGATTCCATGGCCAGGTCTTCCCAGGAAATGGGCTGCTTCTGGGGTCTGAGATGTCCAGAAACTCCACCAGCCACCCTCCATCTCTCATCTTCTTTCCCTTCATTCCCAAGATTATATTCCAAGCAAATCCCACTGAATTAGCCCATTCGCACCTCTCCTCCCCTGCTGAGACTGTCTTCCCACCCTGCCCTCCATTTCCACCCAGCCCTGGCCTTTTCATTTCTGACTTTCCTCTTCCCCAGTGAGCCCTCCTGGGGCGTGCTGGTGGTGACCGTGATGGTTGTTCAAGGTGGGGAAAATGTGAGAGGAGCTGACACTCAACACATGGGGAATTTGAAAATGTCCTGCCCACACTGCCCATCTTCCTGTGCCTCGATTTTGTTCACGGGGCAGGCATGTCCGCATATCTGAGCAGACATGGAAGGTCTGCACACCTTACCCATGTGGGCCCCACTGGTGTCGACCATCTCACAACTCCCAGTACACAGAGCACCACCTTCACTCTCACTCCTCTCCGTGGAGACTCCTAAGACATCCTTAAGTTTTCTTCTCACACTTGAGTTTTGTTTTCTCCATCAGACTGGGAGCTGCCCAGGGACAGAGGCTATGAACATGGGCTGCCTGGAGCAGCTTGTCAGCAGAAAGATATCTCAATTCTTGACACGCCTTTAGCATTTGATATCCACTCACTAAGCCATTACCTGCTGCTTGCTATTGAGTTATTTTCCAGAGAAAGTATGTATCAGCCACCTCCTTATATGGACTCAGGCTCATGGGTGGGTGATTCCAGAACTGTCTATACTAAGCTGTCCATATGGTTACCACTAGCCACATAAAGATATTTAAATTTATTGAAATTAAATCAGATGTAAAGCTCAGTTCCTCAGTTGCACCAGCCACATTTCAAGTGCTCAAACGGCTAGTGTCTATTGCATTGGACAGCACAGATACAGAACATTTTGTCATCTCAGAAAGTTCCAGTGGACAGCACTATAACTTTTTTATGATCCCAAAGCACTTTTTCTTATACATCTCACGTAATAAAGATCAGCAAAGGTATGTAATACAATATTGACACCCATGATAAGTTGAAGAGTTGGATAATATTAATTAACAAAAAATAATGGGGCTTGAATGCTAAATGCTGTCATTCATTCAGGAAGTCCCTTACCCTTTGTCTGAGTTGTCCTCTCCTTATCATTCTGACTTCTTTCTTCACTATCAAACACCACTCTAAAATTATATCTGCAGAATGCTGACCCCGCAGCCCCTCACCTGCACTCCTCGCCCTCCAGCAGCTTCCTGTAGGTGGCGATCTCCACGTCCAGGGCCAGCTTGACATTCATCAGCTCCTGGTATTCACGCAGCAGCCGGGCCATGTCATCCTTGGCCTTCTGTAGGGCAGCCTGCAGCTCTTGGAGCTTGGCGTTAGCGTCCTTGAGGGCCATCTCCCCACGCTGCTCAGCTTCAGCAATGGCTGCCTGGAGGTTGGCGTGCTAAGGCAAGGGGGAGTAGGAGATCAATTAGCATAGTGACCAGGAAACAAGCAGCTGATCTTTCCTGAGAGGAGGTCTCTTCCCCATCCAGCACCCTTTCATTCCCTTCCTTAGAAATTCAGTGGAGCGTGCTCAGAAAACAGAAGTCAGTTTTGAGGTGGTTCATTCTTCTCTGGCCCATTATAATTGATTCATGTCTCATCAAGAAAAGGAACACTGATTTGCCGGTAAAGGTAGTAGTGGTCTGGTAAGTGGTTCTTTTCAGTAAAACTGTTTTAAAACTCCCTTGCCTAATCATTTCATTCCAGTGATATAAATTAGCCATCAAGTTTATGTGAAGTACGTGACAAATAGCTCACTGGGAGCAGATCCTACTGAGAGCTGAGTGTTTAAGGTCACCCCTACAGTTGCAAGATTTGCTAGGCAAACCAGAATGGGCAACCATCTCTCCTTAGACAGCCTTCAAGAAGCCCAGCCTCCAGGAGGAACATCTGGAGAAACAGAATGTCCCAGAGACCATTCTGTCCCACATGTGACACCATGAAAGGACAGAGAAAGCAGGTGGCAGAGGCACAGCCATTGCTTCTCTTTCTCTCCAGGGCCCAGAAGACCTCCAGGATCTCTCCATTGATCTCAGACCCACCTGTTTTTTGACGTTCTCAATCTCGGCCCGCAGCCTCTGGATCAGCCTGTTGAGCTCCATGATCTCACTCTTGGTGTTCTTCACGTCATCCCCGTGTCTGCCAGCTGTGGTCTGCAGCTCCCCAAGCTGACAGAGAAGAAGCCAGTCAACATGTTTTTGCGAACTGTGGAAGCATTCTTGATGAGGGTCAGCAGGGCCTCAACTGGAGTGTGGGGAGAGGGGGAGGGCTCCCACCTTGGTCTGGTACAGGGCCTCAGCTTCAGCCTTGCTCTTCTGAGCGATCTCCTCATATTGGGCCTTGACCTCAGCGATGATGCTGTCCAGGTCCAGGCAGCGGTTGTTGTCCATGGAGAGGACCACAGACGTGTCACTCACATGACTCTGCATCTGGGACAGCTCCTGCAGGGAACATGGATGGTCATCTTCACTATCCTCTGGCCCCAGGGGATGTTGGGAATGAAATATTTCAAGAATTTTGGTCAGCAGAGATATCTCACAATGGGGCCAGAGTGGGACACTTAGAATAATAAGCTTGCATTTCAGGCCTGGCTACAGACTAAAGAATGTCAAATAACAAAGCTAAAGGAAAAGGAAATATACAAATATAATTCAGTGTCAGTCTGAAAGTGTCAGCCAGTAGCGTACCGTGTGGGTTTCCACGGGGAGGGGCACTCTGAAGGTGCTAGCTGGGATAGGAGCCAGAGGGAAGGGTAGAACAAAATGGGAAAGTAAAGCAGACAGAGAGGGACCCTGGTCTATGCAGGCTGGGGGAGCTAAGTTAGCATCGCCTGGGTAAGGTGGAGCTGAGCTCTGAGCCCTGTCATTGCTTTTGTGTGTGTTCTGCCACTTGACTGTCCCCTAAAGTTACACTTGAGAAACATGTTTGGGAAGATGCAGGCAGGAAGGCTCTGCAGCCTGGCGAACCAAGGAATCACCATCTCATAGAGGGTCCTCAGGAAGTTGAGCTCATCTGTCAGGCTGTCGGCCTTGGCCTGCAGCTCCACCTTGTTCATGTAGGCAGCGTCCACGTCCTGGGGGCAGGTAGGAAAGGGGCAGAAAGCCAAAAGATGACCCTCTGCTCCTCTGCCACCCAGAGCTCTTTCCTAAGTCTTCATCTCCCCTTTGTCCCTCACCCACCCCTCCTACTAATTGTGACTTCTCACCTTCCCTCTTTTAAAAAAAAGAAGAAAAGGTGTGGTTTTTTCCCCACTTAATTGCTTTGACCAGTAAAACCCCAGTGCTATAACAAACTATAAACCATGTCAGCCAGGCATGGAGTAAGGGTAGAAAAACACATTTATCCAATATGCGACTTTGGTTATATGGTACCCAAAACCCACCCTCCTAAATAGAAATAAAGATATTCTTCTACCACTTCATCTGGATGATAACTGATTTAAACAAGTGACAAGTATTCGTGGATGGTTACTGTTAATAACATCCGAATAGAGTTGAGGGCTGAAAACCTTGATTAATGCTATACAAAAGATGTTCATTATTAGTTGACATCACCAATCAGCTCCTCAGTCATATTATACACTGTCTTCTCCACCAGCAATGTACTCAGAGCAGCTTCCTTCATCAAACACTTCATTTCCAAATGCAAGGAAAAATGGGCTTAAGGTCACTGTGCTCCGCAGCTGGCCCTGCTCTCTCCATGGTGGCAGTGCCCAGAAAGGGAGCCTCGGCCCGCCCATCCCAGCGCACTTACCTTCTTGAGTCCCACAAACTCATTCTCGGCCGCAGTGCGTTTGTTGATCTCATCTTCATACCTGGGACAGAACGAGGCACAGGCTTGGACAGTGATATTTCAGAATTTTAAAAAAGACAAGGATCTCAAGCACTCATGTGGAACCTCCTCCCTCAAAGACGGGACCAGCCACACAGGGCCTGGGGCTCAGGAGGCCCTCACACTTGACTTAATGCTCTGCTGGCACCATCTGAAATTCTTAATAATTTTTTTAACAAGGGCCCCTGCATTTTCATTTTGCACTGCACCCCCAAATGTATATAGCCAGTTCTGCCGAAGGGCCTTTCAGAGCTCTGGCCACTGCCTCGCCCTCCTCCAAGTCCCGGTGACAGACTGAGGTGTGGGCAGGCCGGGTAGAGGGAGACTTCAAGGAACCCGGCCCCCAGCTCCCACGGACATCACCAAGCACAGCGCGTGCATGTGAGGCCCAGAGGGGTATTTGCTCAGAGCGGGCGTTTCTGTTTCTCTTTCCATTAATCAGAGGTGCTTCTTATAGGAATTTGGGATAAGAATGAACTCGTGTCTTCTGAATGCATCAAAGTTATGACTTCGTGCCTGTTAATAACTAAAATCTCCCACTGAGAGTTTGGATTTCATGAAGGTTAGACTGGAATGGTTCCAGGAAAAAAGAGGTTTCTGAGCAATGAGAATATGAGTTGCCACTGGATTCCCAGAGCCCAGCAGAGAGCCTGCCACAGATGAGCGCCCACCAGATCTGTGCAGTTGAACTGGAACGGGGCTCGCCCTGAGCAGGTGTGCCCACCCCCGTGGGTCCTGACCTCTGAGGCTGTCTGGAGCTCCCTCCACACCTTGAGAGGCCCTGTCTACCTCTCATGGACCTCAGGAGGTATGAGCTACAGCCCTAAACTGTATGAGGAGGCTGACTGAAGCTGCAGAGACGGGATTGGATTAGACACACTGCAAGTGCTTTACACAGCAGGTCCTGGGCTGTCTCCCAGACTCCCTGGGACCTGTGGGGCACTCAGACTTCTGGAACCCACCCACCCCCACTGATTCCGGATGTCTAGGACTAGAGTACAGGAATGTAAATTTTTGACAAATTTCCAAAGGGGTTCCTATGTACAGTAAGTGTGTAGGGCTCTCCATTCTAAAGGGCTTCAAACTCTGTGAGGCTCTCCTGTCCATCTGGGCTGGTGTAGGAGGGGGCCTGCCCAGACTAAAAAGCATGTCATAATCTGCCTCCTAGAAGTCTCAGTCCCCACCCTCTCACCCCCTTCTGCTTGGTCATCCTTCCCTCAATAAATCCATCCAAGAGTACTGACTGAAGGTGCAGTTGGGAACAGTTAAAATCCCAAATTGGGGTCACACCTCCCTGCTGACCCCCCAGAAGAGGAAACTGCCCAGTTGGGCCCTCACTTCTTTTTGAAGTCTTCCACCAGGACCTGCATGTTCTTCAGCTCTCCCTCCAGGTTCCCCCTCTCCCCCAGAGCCAAATCCAGCTGTCTGCGGAGGAAGCTGATGTAGGATTCAAAGAAAGGCTCCAGGCTGTTGGAGCCCGAGCCGGAGCCCGTTGTCTGCTGCTGGAGCAGATTCCATTTGGTTTCCAGGACTTTGTTCTGCTGTTCCAGGAACCGCACCTGCATCCCAAAGGGTAGAAATAAGGGACATGAACTCAGTTTTTTAAACGGCAATAGCCTGTTTTTTGTTGTTGTTTTGTTTAGTTGGAAGGGTTGTTGTTTGGGATTTGAAAAGCATGAGGATTTAGAAAAGGGAGAGCTAGAACATAAGTGCTTACTCTAAACCTATTTCACATATTCTGTCTCATTTAATGCTCACAACCATCTATAAAGGAGATGTTATCCCCGTGAGCCTCAGTTTCCTTATCTACAGTTGCCCAAAGTGATGGGGCTACCAAGTGACAAAGCTAAGAGTCAAACCAAGCACTTGCCCTGTCTACTGGGATCCTTCAGAATACATCTAAAAGAGGGCAGCATAAATAAAGTTATTTATCATTGAAAACTTGTTCACCTCTATGCAGGCCGTGAAAACAGCCAATGAGGTCCACTTTTCTCAGGTTGTTTCAGATTTTCTTTAGATTTACAGGTAATCTAGGTTTAACTTCCAACCCCAGCTTCATTCCCTAGACCAAGCACACCCTCCCCTGCACCAGCATGGACCCCTCAGTTTAATAGTTGCGGAAGCACAGTACCATTCAGAAGGCAGGTCAGTTGCCAACACTCATCACTGAGAGGCAGTCCCAAGATTTCCATGAGTGCAAGCTTGATTACCAGCTAGTTTAGATTATCAAGCAATTGCTTTTCAAGAGTAATTGAAAATTAGCTGTTATAGTGTCATGGCTAATGCCCTAATCTTAAAAAGATCTAAGAGCATGTTTGGACCTTCACCTCATTTCCCCTGGTCCTATCCCTAGAAGGAAATCAGGAGCCAGTATCCTTCCCCCATTTCATAGATGGGAAAACAGGGCCCAAAGAGCAAGAGAGTCAGGCTCACTGTCTTGTAGGGGCCAAGGCAGAACCAGGACAAGAAGCCACACCCCTGCCTCTAAGCCAGGTAGACCCCATTGGCATCTTTCTATATCAACCCCATGGGTGGCCCAAACCCCCTAAAATACCCCTGGGCTTTTCCCTCACCTTATCGATGAAAGAGGCAAATTTGTTGTTGAGGGTCTTGATCTGCTCCCGCTCCTGGGTCTTGACCTGCCCAATCTGAGGGTCGATCTCCACATTGAGAGGCTGCAGGAGGCTCTGGTTGACAGTCACTTCTTGGATTCCCCCAGGGAAGCCACCAGGGCCAAAGCCACCAGGCCCACCAAAACCACCAATTCCACCAAAGCCACCAGCTCCACCAAAGCCACCAGCCCCTCCAAAGCCACCAGCCCCTCCAAAGCCACCAGCCCCTCCAAAGCCACCTCCCATTCCTCTTCCACTACCAAAACCACCTCCATAGCCACCACCAAAGCCACTGCCACAGCTGCTACGCCCTCCCCCAAAGCCTCCAGTCCGGGAGCCACCGGCCACGCTGATGGAGATGCTCTTGTTGCCACCCAGGTTGTAGAGGCTGCGGCTGCCAAAGCCACCTGCCCCGCTCTGGAACCCACAGGCTCCTCCACCGGCTCCCCTAGAGCGGGCCACACAGCTCATCCTGCTGTTGCCGGAGACCACGGCAGAGCGGCCGGAGAAGCCCTGGCTCCCACCACTGAAGGATTTCTTGCAGACTTGTCTGTTCATGGTGAGACCTGATGAAGAGAGAGCGTGAGAGTGAAGCAGGGAAACCTAGAGTCAGAGGAAGAGGGAAAGANGCTTAAAGGTGAGCTAGCAATCACTTAGCAAGAGCTGAGAGGGATGAAGGCAGAGGATGGGGACAACAGAGGAGACTGGCCTTTATATACCAAACAGTTTGGCTTGGCAGAAGGAGAGGCCAGCAATTAGCTAAGAGTCATCTTGGGTTTGGTTTGCCTTCTAGGCAATAAGTTATTTCTAAGTTCCCAACACACCTCAAAAATAATCCTCTGGACCAAAATGACTTTGCTTTCTTAGCTTAATCACCCAAACTTGCCTTGGTTGACAAAAGACTGGAGCTCTCCACCCTCCCTTCTTGTGATTTCCTCAAGGGTCTCCGGGAACTCAAACAGAGCGTGATCTAGCAGGATAAGCTGGGTTTTCACACCAGGGAATCAAGAGCCACTGAGCTCCATGACACAAGGGAGAGGATAAGGCCTCTTCCAGGTGGGCTGTGTCCCTTCATCCAGTGCCAGAGTGCCATGGCCCAGTGACATGTCATTTGCGACCTGTGCCTACCACTTCAGGGAAATCTCCAGAGGAGGGCTTGGGGCGGGGGGAGTGGATGAGAAGGACACTGACCCCACAGGTGTATCTGGCACCACCTCCACCAAAGGTATCCGTTTAAGCCAGCCTGCCACTTGGGCTGAGAAATGCTGCTCATGGGAAGCAAATGTGGAGATAAAATGTGTGACCCGTGGGAAAAGTGAGGGCCATATGGAAGCAAACAAGTGTGAGGCTTGGACATGGACAGGAAGGAGTCTCAGACCAAACCCCTCCACCACCATCCTAGACCAACAGCAGGTGATTTCTGGACCGAGAAGCAAGAGAGGAGAGCATGTGGGCATCCTTCAGTTGGCTGATGGAGTCAGCTCAGAGACCCCATTCGTCTTGAGATGAGAGTGTGAGCTGTGTCAGATCTGGTGGCCTTAGCATCCCCTCTCCCCTCAGCACGTGGTCTGAGTTAGATCCCCCTCCCTGTTTTCCCACCATACCCTATACTTTTCCCACTGTGGCCCTGACTCAGTGCGTACTTATCCGCTCATTTGTCAGTGTCCCCCTAGGCCTGAGCTTGTTGAAAGGAGGAAACGAGTCCCGTTCATCCTCCATCTGCAGCTTCTTGCATAGGGTAAGCGCAACACAAACACATCTTAACTGACTGATGGCCAGTGTCTAAGAACATAAATATCTAGGTCCAGGCCCCACCCCAGTCTTATGGAATGAAGATCTTCACAGAAAGGACTTGAATGTCTGTATTTTTAACAAGCCCTCTCGTCATTCTTTTTTTTTTCCCCCCCAAAATATATCTTTATTGATTTCAGAGAGAGGAAAGGAGAGGGGGAGAGAGAGAAACATCAATGATGAAAGAGTCATTTATCAAGCCCACAACCCAGGCATGTGCCCTGACCGGGAATCGAACCCCAATCGCCTGGATCCTAGGTCGACGCTCAACCGCTGAGCCACGCCTGGCCGGGCCCTCCTGTCATTCTTAAGTTGGGGAAGCCCTGGTCTAGACTATGAGTGTTCCATCTGAGCTGGGGAGTGTGGGGAGGGGAATGAAGACCCTTGGTGGCAGAGTGGGTACACTGACACATTACTGCTCCAACTTACAACAGCTCAACTGTCCCCTACCCCCATGCAACCCACCTCAACACTCAGCCATACCACACATGGCAAGGGCAAATTCTCAGGTTGTTGTCTACATATGGGACTACACAAGGTTTGACAGGAGCAGAGGGGGGTGATTCTAGACTCCCCCAGGAATAGGTGGTTGCTATATCTCCAGAATTCCAGTCAAATCAGCAGTAAGCACTCTGTCTTTTTGGGATGGTTTCCAGACAAGGCAGTCTGGGGCAGAAGACTGACCTAAAAGACCCTGAAGAACCCCAAGAGGAGCAATTGTGAGTTCTCTGCTGCTAATTCTCAGTTCTCTGCTCTGCAGTCTGACTAGAGCCAGTCTGCGTGGTTAGAATCCCAGATCCACCACTCACTAGCTCTTTGACCTTAGAAAAGTCATTAACTTTTATGCGTCTCGGTTTCCTCAACTATAAAATGAGGGTGATAATAGCAGGTACTTTGTGGGGTTATTGTGAACTTTAAACAAGTTATAAAATGCTCCATACAGTATGTGAACTGCTAGTACTCTATTTGGAGACATGGGGGAAGGGAATAACTTATGTCTGGCCTCAGCTATTCTCAAAACAACTTTGCACCCCTGAGAAACTCATGAAAGGATGGTAGGGAAAGGAAGCTGAGTGTGAGTGGGGAGTAAGAAAATCAACTGGAAGAGTAGAGAGCAAGACCTCTGCTCAGATGGATTTGGGTTGGGTGACCTTGGGCTGTGATGTAACACATAAGTCTGTGTTCTGATCTGTCAAATCCCTTCCTACCTCATTGGTTGGTGGTGAGCCTCACAGGATAAATGTAAGTGAAAGTCCTTTGAAAATTACAAATTGCCACACAAGAGTAAGGTAACTGTGGTCTGAGAGAAAGCCTGTCATCATGGGCTTCAGAAGATCTGGGTTCATATCCCTTGTCTACCTCTCACTGTGTGGTGAACTCGGACAAGGGCCTTGACTTCTTTGTGCCACTCTTTCCTTATTTGTAAAATGAGAATTCCACCTTACTTGCAGGACTGTTTTAATATTTAAGAAGTGTCCAGCAACAAATGTTTGGATTTTTGTAAAAACATTACCCATCCAATCACGAAGAGGATTCTGTGTGGGGTTCTTCTTTGAGACGTTTACTCCACCCATTAATTGAGTGCCAATCTCTCTTGCTGAGGTCTTTATTGGTATCCGCTGAAATTCCTTTAAAAGCAGACCAAATACCCTCCCTGGGAAAAAGGCTGAGCCAGGCTCACCTGAAGCCCCAGGGGAGAGCCTAAAGCAAACAAGGAAAGACATCAGTGTCTCCGATGCCCTTCCCCTCCCTTGGCTCCAGGGCTGAGGCAGTGGTGGCAGCCTCCTGAGCATGGCTCATCTCTGCCACCCTAGCATACGCTGGAGAGAAGGGCTGGAGAGAGGCGATGGGCAGATCACAAAAGCACGGGTTGGGCTGGGTTCCCTTAATCCACGTCTCCCAAGCCTGCCAAAGCATCACCTTATTTTGCCACTTGGAGTTGTTTTCTCAGCAGTTGAGTGAAGTCGCTGGAAATATCCAGAGTTAGCATCCTTGGCAACGTGTTTCTTACTCACTGCAGGATCTTTTAGAGCAGTGGCGTCTAAATGGGCTGCCTGCTGTCAACAGTCTGAGTTCTAGTCATGCGCCTGCCAGAACCATCTGTGTGAAGGTTGCCAAGTGGTGGAGAGCTCTGGGTCTCTATTTCCTCATCTATAAAATAGGGGGAATTGTCACCAGGCAGTTATTTCCTAACTGAATTGTTCTCTGGTATTTGCTGCAGTGAGAATGTTTAGAGTGACCTGCAATGTAATTGTGGGTGGAGGTATCATGAGACAGTAGTCATTACCTGCAGGTCAAGGGGAGCAACATCCCTCTCCACCTGGGGCCAAGGATGAAGGGGTGAGAGTTACACGCTCCTTTATATGTGTGGATTCATGGCTCCAACTTTCTAGGTCATTATTAATTTGTTTTCCAAAAAATGAAAAATGAGCAATCATTCTAGATATGCTGCCTTGGACTAAGATTACCATTGTTTCCTCCTTTTTATTTATCATCTTAAAATAAAAACTTATCACTACTAAAATAAGGTTATTTAACAAATGAACAGTAAAAATATATTACCATATAGAGCTAGCTCCCTTTACAGCTAAAGCTTGTTAAAAGGTATGCTAAATCCTTCAGTTACTAAGTCTTAGCTGTTAGCAATCACAATTTATTCTAATTCTGGTCTTCTCTTCAGACTTGGTTAAAATATTCTTCAACTCACCCCTAAATCCTTGTCAGGTACTAGATTCTCTCCTAGGGCTTGTCTAGGGCAGAGTTCTATCCCCCAAGATCACCTTGATTAAAAGGTTCTGTGGTCAAATAAATTTGGGAAATGAAAATTCTATAGCTTTCTCTTGGGATTTTAATAAAACTCATTCACATATTAAAAGCCCTGAGAAGTCCTGTAGAAAAGAATCATTTACTTTTACTTAATCAAAGCTTCCCAAACAAACTTAACAACAAAACCTTTCTATCTTGACCCCTATTAACACGCAGTTGAATATACTTGGAGAAGCACTAGTCCAACTATGCATCCAGAATGGAAAAGAATATGCAGATAGGGCAGTTGGGGTTAAGGCATAAGGTCAGGGAGACTTGCCTCACCCCTGGAAAGAAAGCACTTGCTCCAAGTGAGAGAAACAGAGGAAGCTGAGAGCAGACTAAGACCTGCAGGTTACAGAAGCTGGGGGAAGGGCTCTGGGATGCTGGAAAATGGAAAAGGTCCCTGAGGACCAATTCTCCTATCAATGTATATTTCTCAGCAGCCATGGATCTTGCTGGATCTTTTGGAAAGCCATTGACCTTCCTTCAGGGAGCACCATGGGAAAGGGGCCTCATACCTGTTCATTGGATGCTGGATTTTCTGGAATGCAAGTGACAGCACCTCCTCCCTCTCTTACCCTGCAGCTTGGAGGAGTGGAAAACATGGAGGCCTTGGAGTTAGGCCCGTGTTCAAAGCTCAGCCTCTCCACTTTCCAGTTACATGGCCTCCAGGAAGTTGTTTTACCCTTAGGCCTCAGTTTTCTGGTCTGTAAGTTGGGGTTAGCATAGCCTCCTCATCGGGCTTCAGGGAGGACTACAGGAAGCAGTGTTAGAAAGCCCTACACTGGGCAGGTGCTCAGCCTATGACAGCCCTTGTGATGGTAATGTCTATGTACGAAGCCCTTCTAGGAGTTGTCAGTTTGGAGGCTGAGGAAGAAGGAGGAGTTCTAAAGGGTAGTCAGTCCTATTTAAGGTCAATGCAGCATTGAAGTCTGGTTTCTGCATAAAATTGCAAAGAAT